GCGGGGCGACCGCGCGCCACCTCCCTACGCCGGCGCCTGCCGCCTCGCGCTCATTAATATGGAGGAAGGGGGCGGGACAAGCCACGCCTCTCCCTCGGGTGGGGGGGGTGTGAAACCACCTCCTCGGTGGTGGGGGGGGAGCGATAAGATGGGAGATACCAAGTGGCTCCGCCACAGGGGGCGAGGGCGGCGGCCCCCCGCCTCCCCTCAGTCAAGGCCCCGCCCGTCAAATACGCCTGGTTTCGCCTCAACTTTTCTTTAAATAAGGAGTTCTCAAACTAAGGAGCGGGAGAACAGCACTCGTGTTGCTGCTGGGGTGTTTTAAAAGTTTCTCTCCTTTCTACCTTCTGTGCAAAAAAAGGGGCACCCGAACCAGCACCTCTCGGTCAGATCGCTGAGGGGATCTGAGAGCTCGGCCTTGCTCCCTCCTTCTTTTGACCACCTGAAAGACCACCTCAGCCACCTCTCCCTGGCTCTTTTGAGGGCAAAAGTTACCAAGGAGGGGGAAGGAGCTGGTACATACAGAACAAATCGCATCTTGGGGAGCTCAGCTCAAAAGCAAAGCGGGTTTTGTAGTCCCTCTGGGGACTGGGAATCTACTCAATTATCCTGTACTCACGTTAATTGGGAATGCCCTACATTTTTTTCAAGGTCCGTGGCACCCTTCCGATCTAACAGTAGCGAGCCACCTAGTTTCTTCTGTAAAACACTTTTCCTGGGCCAGGGCACTGAAGGAAGGTCTGGCTAACAGGGCAGCAATAGAAATGGCTACTTCAATGCTCTTGCAAGCCTGCAGGCCTGCCCGCGGTCCTCTTGAAGTGTAACCGCTGTGTCCTGACCCTGCTCGGCCAACACAGTTGCTCTCCCTCTTCTAGTCAACTCTGTGCACACTGCCACCGTTTGTCCACTAACAAAACCGCCGTTTCATCCTCTGGCTAGACCGCCCCGAGCCTTCACAGGGCTTCGTTTCTTTGAGCCATTTTTCCCCACACGGTCAAAACCATGCGGACGTTGGGCTTGTGAACAGAGAAAGAATTTATACCCCTAGCAGAGAGAGCGGGAAAGAAAGTGAGCTACGCTAATCCGGAGTGCTCAGATGTGTGAATTGGGTCTCAAAGTTCATGTGAACGACTTATATCAACAAGATCTTTTTAAAAATACAACTCTTTGTTTGTCTTACTCACAAGAGCCTCTTTCTCTATTTCTGCTCTTGTGCTGTGTAACAACACCTCTGACAGAGTTCCTGTGGCCAGGCTGTCTTCTTCCACCACAAGTTTCATCTCTCATTATCCCTGACACATTCATTAGTGACACATTCACTAAACAGTGCTTAAAATTAACTGGTTCCCATGCCCAGACCTGCCTCTTCTTCAAATTTGATTCTCCTTGCAAACCCTTTGTTCTCCTTCTACCTTGCCTGCACTTCTTTGGATAGGAGTTCACTGATTTCTTCTGAGAAAGTACAGATTAAGTTCAAACTAATTTAGTTTCTGTTTAATCACTTCTCCCAGTGATCTTCAAAGTCTTTCCTGATGCCTTTCCCAACTTGAATTTTCCTTTCTCCAGCTGCTTCCCCTTGCTTTTCCTTCCCTCCCTGCTTGCCACTTTCTCTTCCCTAGCTCCCTCCTCACACACAACAGGTTTAGAAATTCCTCGTCTGCTGTCTTCCCCTCAGTAATTCTACCTCTTGGTTTCCTTTGTAATTAAGGTTACTCCATCCTTTACTCTCCTCAGCCTCTTAGGCTTTTCATATCAGTAAATGTTCTAGCTTCCTTGATCTTAAAGCACATGACTCCCCAAGCGTCAGAATTAAGAAAGCCTGGCCTGGTTCTCCACATATTTGTGCCTCATGGTTTGTTAACTTCAGGGTTTAAGTTGCAAGGTTTGACTAATCTTTTCCAAATTTGTGGTGTACAAAAGGTTTGTCTTTAGTCAGTGGATGCCATTGCCTAAAGTTCCTGCTGCAGACTTTCCATCATTCAGGGAGTACATGATACATCCTCCCAGCTCTACAACTTATTTTCATGAACGTTACAGGAACTAAATTATTCTGCGAGCTTTAATCCTACCTAGACTAAGTTGCTAGGTTCAAATGTTATTAAACAACATGGATACACTCCCAAATATACCTGTACCTACATGACATGACCATATAAACCTAAAGAAGAAAGTAACCTGAAAATCACCCTTGTGCCTTCCAGCTGCCCATCTCTAAACTCACTAAACGCACAGTTCCCAACCACTGTTGAGAGGTCCCTCTTTTGTATTTCTTCTTCAATTCTCTCTGACACAGCCTCTGCAAAGCTCAAAAAGCTATGCTTAATTTTTAAAATATCACAGCTGAAATGACTGCTGGGGATGAGATTTAAGAAAAGCACTGTTGTGATTTCAGTTGGGATAGAGTTAACTTTTTTAATAGCAGCTGGTGTAATGCAGTGGTTTGGATTTGAGATGAGAAATACTTCTGATAGTGCACTGGTGTTTTTGGTTGTTGCTAAGCAGTCAAGGCCTTTTCTCCTCCTCACACTGCCTGCCAGTGAGCAGGCTGAGAGCGCCCAAGAAGCTGGGAGGGGACACAGCTGGGACAGCTGACCCCAACTGACCAAAGGGATATACCATACCACGTGATGCCATGGTCAGTACATGAAGTTGGGGGAAGAAGAAGGAAGGGGGGGATGTTCAGAGTCTTCCCAAGTGACCATTACATGTGATGGAGCCCTGCTTTCCTGGTGATGGCTGAACACCTGCCTGCCCATGGGAAGCAGTGAAGGCATTTCTTGTTTTGCTCTGCTTGTGTGCACAGCTTTTACTCTAAACTGTCTTCATCTCATCCCATGAGGTTTTTTCCTCACTTTTCTGATTCTGTCACCCATCGCAACTTGGGGGAGAGCGAGCGAGTAGCTGTGGTGTTCTAGCTGTGGGCTGGGGTTAAGCCATGACAAGCACTAAAAATTACAAAACTTTTTGAGAGAAGTCCACAACATTTGGAAAATAGAAGGAGCTGGGAGGAGAGGAGCAGCAGGGGAAAAGAATGAAAAAGTAACCAAGAGGAGTGATTCAAAGACAAACAAATAAACATACAGGCAAAAGCAAACAAAAAGGGAAAGGAAATTGTTTCTAATTGCCAAACAGTGTTGTCCCTCAGCAGTTCTGCAAAAGGACAAAGGTCCGATACATAGGACAGAAGACAGAAATGGCAAGGAAATGCTCCATACTACGCATTTGATAAGGATTATTACACAACTGATGTAGTTTTATGCTATGAACTTCCATTGGTATGGATGTACTCACTTAAATGCAATGCAGTGCTGCTTTCTTTTCTAAAAAAGCAAAAGCTACACGGTACAGTGAATGAAATGCCATTTAAATATTTTGTAATTGAAAGTATGTAATACAAGTATGTAAGAATAAGGTTCTGTAGTATTTAGGCTTACAACTGCAAATAACAGAATACTCAGATTCTTAAACTCCTGTTACTTTCTTCGGATTGTACGTATTAAATGTGCTCATTAAGTACAGCTCATTACTTAAAGCATGCACAGCTATGTCTGTAGGGTCAGGACCTTACTTGGTTGCTGAGAACAGTCCCAGATACATAAGAGCATTCCTCGCAGTTGGACCAAATATTTGCAAACACCAAGCTATGAAGGTCCCATCTTAGCAAATGGGAAAAGCACGCTCCCAAATCTATTGTCTGAAATGCACTTTCAGTTGCCATTTAGTGATAGTAGGACTGTGTAAATGCATTGGGAGGGCAAAACTGGATCCTACATACAGTTGCTAGATGAATTAGGCTTATTCTGACATCCTTCAGTAATTTCTGAGTTCTAAATATTACAAGTGTGTGCATAATGTAGCATGCATATGCATTTAACCTGTTGAGAAAAAGGAGATGTCTCACGGCTCTCGATTGTGTACTTTGCAACTCTTTCATAATTAAGCTTTCAAAGGGAACATTTACATAGAGGTGAAGGGATGGGCTTCCATGCAGGTGGCAGTAATCTGTACTCATAACTTATTGAATAAACACTGTAATTGCAGCGATAAGACCGGAATAATCTAAACAGAGCAGGGTTTTCCCCAGATACCCATAAAAATCAGGTGAGTTTTGAAGTGCTGATCTCTCAACAATGCATCTGCAACAAACCAGTTTCTTCTTTCATCACTCCAAGGGAAAAAGTATGTAATAAGACATGTCAACGACTTGGATGTCCCCTGGCTGTTTGGAGAGCATTCCAAAAAGCAACCTCTGTGCGCCCTGTTTGCAGGCACAGCACATTCACATCTGCAGCCGCAACTTTATGTGGTATAAGAGGAGCCTGGGAAAAATGTGTGACTTATTTTATAATGGATATGGCTTTTAAGATCTTAAAGCTGAAATTAATGAGTTAACTCAGTCTAAATAAATGGCAAGCTTTGCTTGAAGTGGATCACGGAGATCTGTGTACCTCAGCTGGGAACACTCCCTCTGGAGAAATTAA